AGTGCATTTGATGTGCTGCTTCATATTCTTCACTGACCGACATTCCACAGCAGTGTGGCCAAAAAGAGTGGCTGGCACAGAGGTTCAAACAGAGCCAATCAACCAGAAAACGAAATGGAGAAGCAACATGGCCAATTATTTGATATCGCAGATCAACTGCAGCTTCAGTGGAGGCTGGTGTGGGAAGTATTCAGCCAGGACGGTCAACACGTCTGTGCAAACTGCAGCTGCAAGAGTCAACGTGTCGCATGGTTTCCCTCATAAGCACGTCCTTCTGCTAAAACAAACCGGACTAATAAGGTTTCACCAACTTTTGCTATATTCTGTTTGTACTTTCAGTCTATTTGAAGCCTTAGTCTGTTCTCCAGTTCTGCTCTGAAGAAATAAAAAAAAAACCCCCAGAAAGAATAAAAATGAAGCTTTGCAAACACTCAAAGGATAAAACATGTCACATAAAATTGCAAGTTTATCATCTCAGTCTGGAAGACCTCACAGGGCAGCGAGGGAACAGTGATGCATTTGAAAAACCACATTTTTCTGATCTAATTTCATCAAAGAGCTGTCAGAACCCCGGGCTAACATTTAATGTAATAGACATTAAATGTCTCTAATCAATAATAAATGCTTTTAGCCCATCCCACAGTGATAGCATTGGATTTTTTCCCTCAAACTGTGAAGAGTTCTTCATGAAAAAAATGAGACTTTATAGATTCCCTGCTGACCACAACTTTCCCTTATAGTAGTGAAAACGCTGCGCTGAGCTATTTCTTGTTTTATATCCCAGGAGACTGTATACCTCAAAGGTCTGCACCCCCTCTGAAACTGTAGCAGTACATATGAAGTCCTCTATTTCCACCAAACACGCTGCCCTGAGAAAGTCCCTGAAAAAGGACAAGCAGAACCTGTCATGCATTATATTGTTTGTCTTGTTGTTTCACCTTCAATTTTAGGACATAGCAGCTCCCCACACTCTCAGTAAAATATAGCTTATACCCACTGGCCTTGAGTTGCTATATCTGCTGACATTTTTATCAGCAGTTATAATGACTTCAATCCAGCTGACATTTTCTGCAGGTCGAGGCAATATATCGAGAGATCGCAGGTTATGTTTTGGAACAATGCTTTACCACTGTCACTTTAGCACTTTTTGTTTTTTTTATCAGAGACTTTTTTATTTGATTGAGTGCCTTGAAATGAAGATATGGCATAGTTTTCTGTCATATAAATGCAGATCCAGTTATTAACTTGGACTGCAACAAACTGCTATGCTTTGTTCTTAACAATATGTTGGAACTAATACCTTTAAAATAATTACACTTCTTCAAATTCCCCTTTACTGAGCAACAAAGAAATGATAGGAAAGATCATTTTGTATTTTCTTCTTTTACAAGCAACAACAATGCTAATCAAGCCTTTGTTGTTTCTGAACAAATGTATAACGCCAAGTATTTTCATCAGGTGTGATTAAAAATAGGTTGCTTTCCTCTACTTTGGCATCTCAGCATTGTTTTCCTGCCTATTTTGTAAAATGGTTTTTAGGCTTTTAAGCTATGGTGCAGTTTGGCATCTGGGTATATCACAAGGTTATTAATCCCTTAAGGCCAGTCACACACACTGCTTGACTTAGCCTGTCTCAGACAAGGTTTTGAGATCTGGACAAAATCCTGATATCGGACCCAATTCAGAGCACATGGCGGAGACTGAAACCTCCAACTTCAATCTGGGCTGAGAGGCAGCCCGAGGCAGGGATTGTGTGCTTTCAGACATCAGTAGATTTTAAACATATTTGAAGTTTTTCAGCGCACAGTCTGCATTGCCTTTGAATGGCACACAGAGTAAGCAATGCAACATATAAATACAGAGTGACTTTGTTAAAAAAAAAAAAAAGTCAATGTTGCAGCCACAAGCTCCAGGCTGTTATCAATTATATCCAATATTTACTGATGCTTGGGCAGAGCAGTTATCCAGTCATAGGACTTGTGATTGTTAGTCATTAAGAATTGATACAATACAAAATATCCAAACAAAATTAAATTAAAAACATAAAAACACAACTTATTGTTAGTTTATTTTGGTATGGGGGAAGCAGAGAACATTTAAAAGGTACAGAAGGTGTTTAAATCATAGCTTTAAAATAGCTTTCTTCCTGCTGTGTTTAGCTCCACTTGAAGCACGCAAAAAAGACAAGGCAAGGCTCTGCAGGGGGGGGAACAAAATCCCCAACAACAAAATCCGAGTCAAGAATCTTAATGTTTGAATCTGTCGTCTGGGCCACAGCCGGTTTAAGTCCCCAACGCTGTATAAGACAAGACGCTACAGTGAACGCAGTGGTTTGGTGCAAGTACAGGATTTATGAACCAGAGCAGTCTCCTGCTCTCATACTTTGACTCCAGCTCTGTTTCCTAGAGGAAATCTGGGCCTCAGCCATTAGCAATTAACAAGCTCTGGAACAGCCTTGCCTGTAGTGAGCTGGGAATAAAACGCTGTTATAAGAGGTAAACAACAACACTAGAAACAATAACAGCCATTGTTAAAAGTCTTTCTCTCCAACTAATGGGATAAAGAACTGATTCCTTTCAACTCTAATCTGTTTCATCAGAAGGAGATGAATTACAGGAAGATGTAAAGTGGATGGTTTACTCGTGCCTTCTCAGAGGTCCTGGTCTCTCTGGCAAGATGCTCTTCATTAATCAGAATGGCACCGGTATCAGAGAGCGGACCATTAGGCTCACTTCACTTTCGCTGCTTCCCAAACTGTCCTTGCTCTGGCTAATCACTGATATTTGATCACACACTTTTCGGCACCTTCTGCAGCTGTTCTGCTGCAGATCTTTATTTCTCAGCCAGGTTCTCAGTTAATGAGAAGTGAATGGTCGGTGTTTCAGTCATCAGGTATTTCCCGTCCTCTCTCTCTCCCTCTCAACTTCCCCTCCCTGCCTGGATATTTCAACACTTTGTTAGCGATAAAAGACAATACATGGTGCAGCCCACTGAGTTTCCCAGTTGTGTCACTTCCAATTAGCCCTTCTGAGACATCTCTGCCCTTTGGCTCACCAGCATTCGAGTTAAAAAAGATCTGATCTTCGTTGTATTGCGTGCTGCCTTGCTTCACTCTCCCACTGTCGAAATTCATGCATGTCTGGATTCGTGAGTCTATGAAAGAGAGAAATCGCAAGAAAGACAGACGGGGAATTTTTAATCCTATAACCAGAAATAGCAGCTTGCTGTAAGGCTCCACGTATGGGGCTGCTGTGAACTTAAAAGGAGCTTTCCTTGTATAAAGGTACACATTTCTGAATAAAGCAGCAAGCCTTCACCTTAATCATCTTCCGTATTATACATCATTAATACCGATGTTCTTAAGTAGCTAAGCTTTTTAGAACGGGGACATGGCATGTTGTGGTGGCCCTCTGTAGATTTATCCCTCGGGAAAAAACCTGGCAGCTCTGTCAAATCTGCCCGCAACCTGCTTCTATGTCACATCACTTTTTGAAGCCAAAGTGAAGTGGTGGGGATTGTAAACAGCAGAGTGGTGAGCCACAGTATGTGAGCAAACGTTTTTGAGCTAATGAGAGGACTGGAACGCCGCAGCTTCTTAAACTAGGGCAGAGAAACTCGCAGCTTCAGTGGAAGACTTCCCTCAGACCTCACGTCCCGAGAGTACACATGTGCAAAACCAACAGCACAAACAAACAAAACTGGTGCTGTGCGAAACAGTGTCCACTTAGCGGAATCAAACAAACAGCCAACAACAGGACGTTTTCAGGGCCAACGCTGCAGTGAGGACGGGACTCTGTCTTTACAAAAAGCAATGCCGGAGGTGTCAATTAAACTTTAGGGGCACAGAAGAGAAAGTGTGGGTATAATTTCAAAAGTCAAACTACAAAGAGAAGACATAAAATTGATACCATATGTTGGCTCCACAGAAACAAGCACGGGGAAAACATGTGATCATAGTAAAATAAAGGAAAGTATAATAAAATCCACGTTTTCATTATATAATTATATCTATCACTGTAGCTATGTTTATACATGTTCTCCTTGTTTATTGTGTGGGGTAAGTGATGATGGGAATTAGGTGAATAGTGGGATTCAATAGAATGTTGAGCATGGGGTAGGGATTAATAAGTATGTTATACTTCTTCCTACTCCATTTCAGACCTAATAATTGTCATTTCATGTCATTTAGACTCCTTTTTATTTTATTTATTTTCTTTTTTGTTTTATCTGAGCACATACGTGTGTGTATTTACACATATATTCATATTTGTAAATGCAAGTATGTGTACATATTGTTTGTTTGTTTTTCTGTATATGTCTGAAATAAATAAAGATACAATACAATACAATAATTGATTCAGCATATTCACACACCTCCTCTAATTGGACCAAAGCTGTACATGGCCAAAAGGCACTCAGAATTCATGTGATGATGTTAATATTTCAGTTTTTGCCACTTTTTGCCACATTTTTACAAAAAATCTGTTCAATTCCAAACTGCAATGAGTAGATAGTGGGTAACCTTTACTATATTAAATCTAAGTAAGTATTAAGATCAAGATATCGGGGATGGTTTTTCATTTCCTATGCAACGAGTATGGGAGGAAGTAACAGCTTAACTGGACTGAATGCAGGTTTGCTGGCCAAGAAAAGTATTGAGATTTCTATACTGCCTTGTTTCCTCGCTGATGTGCCTGCAAATGGGTTTGAGCCAAATCTGACGAGAAGTTAATTAAAGGCATTACATCCTTCATAATCTCTATAAACATCTATATCTCAGGGGTTTACAGAGGCTCTTTAAACCATCTTTCAACAGAAAGCAAACCATAACAAATGAGTGATCTGTTCACTTTTCATAACTGCAGTCAGAGCTTCTGCCTTGCATGCCAGCAGTCACAGCCCAGTGAGCATATTGTAGAGTTGGGCTCAGAGTTGGCTGCAGGTACGAGCATGCTCAAACGCACACAGACGAACACACACACACGCATATAAATACTCACCACCAACAAACTGAATACCGCCAGCCACGCGACCGATTGTACGTGAGATGAGGTCAGAGATGCAGCAGCCCATGAGAGCTGTGAGCGCCACCAGCAGGAGGAGGCCACATCCCACGCCTGTCACCACAGTACAGATCCTCCATTCAAGACTCGGGATGCCGTGGAAGGAGGCGTACCTCCCACACTGCTCCAGCATCACCGTGGTCTGGCTCTCTTCATCCCTCACTGGGTAGGAGCAGCGACGGAAAGTGCCAAAGGACACTGGCTTGTCCATCTGTATTCCCAGCAGCCAATAGGGCATGAAGAAGCCAACACAGGAAGCAGCAGCGCACAGCAGGGACAGCAGGGCCCAGATAACACCCGTACATGTCAGACTAGACGCCATGGTAAACAGTCTGCAAATGGTTCACACTGAACTAACAGCAGTTATATGAGCAGTTGCTATGTTGTGGGAAGTCTTGCAGTGAGCATTTAACACTAGCAGCCTTCACCTCCTCAGTGACTCCGGGTTCCTGTCAAGAGGAAGAGAAACATCCAAACTGAGCACTGACCAGACAAATCATCTGTGTGAACAGGTTGCGGGCTTTGACATGTGACCCTGAAAACAAGAAATGTGTTCCCCGGTCTTTATAAACGGATCACTAACACAAGCAGAGGAAAAGAATCACAGACAGGAGAAAAATCAGGGGAATAAAGACCTTCAATTATGACATCATCAGGCAGTTATTCTCTAATCAGGTCTTTTGTGTGATTGTTAATTAGTAAGATGTGTTTTTAAAAGTCTTCAGCTAAACTGGGAACTTAGTAGACTAGACTAAAGTAGACTAAAATGACATATTTCTGAATTGTGATTTAAATAGATTTAAGATCTAAGAGGAAAAACAGTCACGATCATATTCATTTAGTCAATAATTAATCCAAGTTTGATGAACTAAAGGCTGGCTTATTCCCCATCTCACTTATTACTCTTGGGCTTCTCTGTTTATTACATATAGGAATTCATTGAAGATATATATATAATAAGAAAGTAAATATGAATGCTAATTAGTACATCCTATAATTGGAACAACTGGGATAACTCAGAATAACTCAAATTTAGTTTGATATTTAAAATAGTGCTAATCGCTATAATAAACTTTAAACTTAAGCTACAAACAGTATTATATCATAACTGACTATGACCCATACTCACAAAATCAGTAGAATTTGGATGCTTAGTACAGGAAACACAGTTAAAGTGTCTTCATGAGCCGCCACTTCTAGAACATAGTGATTTTTTGCTAGGGGTGACCTTAAGGAACACATTATCGCAGTGCCTACACTATCGGAATGAAAAGAATGAAAACAGGGCAAACACAGGGGGAAAGCAGAGGAAAGCTTACATGTTGGGAGACCTCCGAAATTAGGTGCGCTCGGTGTGCACTGAGAGCTTGTTTCCATCTGCAGACTCCAGCTGTGTTAGATCTTAAAGCAAACTTTTCTTCAGACGAGGGAAAAATGCAGAAGAAATGCGTTCGCTCCTGGAATGTAAATCCAAAAAGTGACAGCAGAATTGGCTCATGAATCACTTCGTGCTCGTCAATATATGTAACTGAAAGGATGATCAATTATTTACTCCTGTGCGGGCGCACAAATGTGCGGTGCAGTCTGACTTAACTCCCGTTTCCACATTCCTCCTCGGAGAGAGAGAGAGAGAGAGCGAGCGAGCGAGGGAGGGCTGGAGGGGGGCGGGTCCATAAAACACTCTCAGGAGGCGACCATCAATCACACAAATCCCCACCCAGGGGCTGGACTCGCCGCTACTATCGCTCCTACAGGCTCCTGGTGCATTCACTGACCCTTTGAAAACGATGCACGTTCTCCTACTAAATCCTTCGGGATGCTCAAGATAACGAAAAGCTGTCAGTGTCTTTCATGTTAAAATGTTTACCACATCTAGCTTTGCATTTGTTTAGGTAACCTCATATTCAGGTAAATTAATTCAATATTGACTGACATTGTATGTCAGTATTTGCACAGGACATTCTTAAGGGAGAGTTTAGACATATGTTTGGACATATGTCTAAACTCTGTAGTCACATCTCTGAATATCACACAAATATATATATAAAATCACACACTTCTTTTTCATAGAATTATGGTGTACATATTTTTATATTTATTTAATGCAATATTTAATGCAATTTGCACTACTGCCTATTACAATGTCAGTCTCACTATTATGTTTTTTTTTTTTTTATCTAGCAGTACAAGCCTATTATTAGGCTATTATTGTCAGCACATGTGGCACTTTTCCACTTTCCAGAGTTTTTACCCACTATCCTAATTGCATAAAACCAAGGAAGTGCTTAGTGCAGTTGAGCAAAAGTGGGTTATTCAACATTTTCAGATTAGTAACAATGTCTTGTGTTTGCTTTTTTCATTTATTCATTTCTGATTCGAGTTCATGCTTGAATTTTAAAGAGTGCAATATTGTCAGTAGCATTTAAATGCAGCTTTGCTCCCTGTGAGTTGTGTGAAGGCAGCTAGATGGAGGAAGTTATTCAGCCTGTCCTTTACAGGCTATAATTCTTTACATTATTGTGTCATCCTTCATATGTGTTAACGTTAATGTGACACAGATATGACTGACGACACAAGAAACTGGAAATAATGAAGCCTCTTGGGCCTACTCTATTCCTTGTAAACGTAAATATGACCATTTCATTCAGCGCTTGTCCCGCACTTGCAGTAATTTCGAGGACATAGCAGTCAATTAACAAAAACAAGTTTATTTAAATGGTTTAGCTAAAGCCTCTATAGTAGTTTAAAGGCACGGGAGTGTAAAATGGGTATATATAAACTTTCAAAGCCTCTATTTTAATTCCGCATTATTGCGAATATTGAGCTCACACATGATGGAACGTTGTACCGTTTCTAGTCAGGAATCCAGACGGACGTTTATTTCAAACGGACCACAACATCTCTCCGAAAGTTGACGTGGAAGTGTTTGTGTACAATGGCTGATACTAAAGTAGAAATTTCAGCTGACAGCTCGACTGCAGCACAAAATGTAAATGCGGCTTCACAGCCGAACAATCCTCTGTCGAGGAAGCTTAATAAGATATTAGAAACCAGACTTGACAACGACAAGGTAAGTGGGAAGACGTTAGCTTCTCGCTATTTGGCTAACTAGCTGAATGTAGCAACGAAATAAGTCGTGTTTAAATCAGCCGTTCATTATTATTAGAATGATTTTTCGAAGATAATCTTTCTAGGTGGCAGTTGATCATCTCTGACTCTATCAAAGCTCAGTAATAACATTGGTCAGATCTTTAGCTGTCCAAGACTTAGCTTTTTGCTGCATCCATTCACTCTTGTTATTCCACCAGAAAATGCTTGTTATTTAGCTCAAATAAAAGGAAACATACACTTCAAGTGTGAAAATGCAGGCCACCAAACTATTTCCACATTTTATGTTCATTTTGAGATATGTGAATTTGTCAGCTAAAGCAGCAGATAGCTTGGGACATTACAGTTGTCACAACACTGCAGCTGACAGTAATTGTTTTGTTGCTTTGTACTTCCAGGAGATGCTTGAGGCTCTGAAGGCGCTGTCGGTGTTCTTCACCGAAAACAGTTTACGCACCAGGAGAAATCTTCGCGGGGATATAGAGAGGCGAAGTCTGGCGATCAACGAGGAGTTTGCACGAATATTTAAAGGAGTAAAAGAGGTGATACGGAGTTTATTATAACTGATGAGCTCTCAAGGCTGTGGGATCATAGCCAGAAAAATTTATAGAATATATGTGCAGTAACTCAGGTGGGTTTGGGATTTCCACAATGAGCAAATTAATCTGTTAATTTTTAACTTTATTTGATAAAAACAGCAAATATTAGGACTTTTTATTTCTAAAGAAAACAGCATTTCAGGGAGTGAAATTAGAGAGAGTGATTTATTAAGACTTCTACTACTTCCAAACAATTTATCTGGGCATTCATAGTCTTTTAATACTGGATATTTTGTTCTGACGAAGAATGAGTCATTACTTTTATGTAGTTCTGTGTGCCAATGTCATTTCCAAAACTAATTTATTAATGCTTTTAAAGTTGCTTCTGTGGAGAAAAATGCCATCATTCAATTATAGACATCTCTTCCCTTTATATATATATATATATATATATTCATACTTCAAATGCACCAAAAGTAATTTAAAGTTAGTTTTTGTTCTCGTACTAAGGAAGCACTGATTCAGTTTTTTCCATTTCTGATACAAGGCTATGGTAGCGCTGAGAAATTAAAAATGCACTGTGACTTAAAAAAATATAACAATGATGATAGTAATAATAATAATATTAATAATAACCTTGGTTAGACTGAGAGGCTGGGTGCATTAATAAGGTCTTAGAAGCAGGGATAAGCAGGGATCTGTCCATGTAGAGCTTTATATCTTAATAACAGAATTTTAAAGTGGATTCTAAAAATCTCTGGAAGCCAGTAAAGGGATCCAAGAATAGGTGTAATATGTGACCACCCCCTAGATTTTGTTAGCAGCCTTGCTCCTTGCGTTGTGCCCCAGTTGGAGACGAGCTAATGAGGACCAAGAGATGCACGTGAAAAGTGCATTAGAATAATCAAGGCAGCAGAAAATTACAGTTAAAGATGATTGAATGACAGTGAAGGATTGATTTTCACAATATTGTCTTACCAGCATCAGGATGAAGGAAGTTTGAAATGTAAAAACACTGCAAAATCACAGACAAATGAAAAGCTCACAAAACACGCAACAGAACACACAGACACAATGAGGATGATTTAGAGGAGACAATAACGTGAGAGAACAGCTGCAGTAAACAGCTAACAGCAAATATATATCTACAGGATTATATGCCTTATTATTTATTGCCTTTCCTGTTTTTCTCTCTCACAACACTTACAGATCGCCTGCTTATTTTAGGCATGTCTCAGTAGAGTCCGTTGCATCTTTCAGTTTCTATCACTTCAGTAGCTTTATGATGTTGTCTTTACTTCATGTTATTATCTCCCTTAAATCACATCTGTTGCAGTTAAGGGAGCTTTGGTTTTATTCAATTTTTTTTTATTATTTATACGATTTTTTTTTTAACTTTTATTTTTCTTCAGTTGTATATTTTGTGTGCTTTTTCAGCATTTATTCAATTAACGGATGTTTTTACCAGTGGGTTTGACCTCTCAGGCCACAAATACAATACGCTGAGAAGGTACAGTACAATGCTGATACCGTGGTATCAATATCAAGTACTGATCCAGTACAATTGTTGTTTCAATAAACTGCATTACTTATTCTGAGGAGAGAAGAGAACTGGGAATCATTTCATCTTTTGTTTAAAGCAACAGCATATCCTACTGAACTTAAATGTAGAATGTAAATACTTCCAAGAATGTAACTTTACAGAGTTGGTATTTGCTGGTAAATGATGAACTGGTAGAAGGAAAAAATGCATTCATGTTATTTTGTAAATTTAGTTGCACAAGTCTCATTTAGGGTAAGTTTAAAGTCTTCACTGAATGTGGCCAAATGGCCATTCATGGTCATCCTGGTTTCTCCATTCCCTGCTCTTAGTCACACTATGGGTGCATCACCTCACATACACACACAACATGCTGAGTGGAGCTAAGAAGATACAGATGCGGTAAACATAACAAGATTAGGAGTGAGCGTGCCTTGAGGGCAGCCATTCCCCAACTTCAGACCACTGTGGCCCACTTTGACATGTGAAAACTGTCTGCCATGCAGTCAAACTTGTAGTCACATCTCTGAATATCACACAAATTAAATTTAATTATTTGCATGACTTTTGGAGCCAATCCTGAAGAATTTTATTTTATAGACCCGTACAATGATTGGACCAAAAGGACTATAATCTGATTTACCCTTCATCCTATAGAAGTAAGTCAGGTAACATTTGAAAAGGCTCAGCTTTCAAAATTGTGTGTTTCAATCGGTTTAAAGTTTTCAAATTGCGTAAGGAAAAAAAATAATTTCAGTTGACTAATTCTTTTATTTTTATTATTTTTTAATGAGTTGATTGTAACTGATGGGCGCAACTACCATACCTTCACACCCCATCAATAGGCCCTAGCACATACTTGGGGAATTTCTGTATTAGGGAAAGCATGCTGGATGTTGTCAGTTATGTCAACTCATTTGACCACAGTTAACGGTTAAAGCTTTTGCAAACATACATAGAAAAGCTTTTAGCATCACAGATGTGAAAAGCCTCCAAACTTCTCACCTTTTGATGTGAGCTTCCTCCCTGCTATGTTGGCTCTTCCATTAGAAACTGGTGCACTGCAGCTGATTTGTGGTGCTGTAAACTAAGAACTGAATTAAATGCATTGGCCTTTTAAATCAGCTGTTGTCACAACACCAGATCAAGCATTTTGAGTAAGGCTCAGGCTGCTATCCAATCCAAATATCACACTAGTACATTCCTTAATCGAAAGCTGATATCCAAGATCGGTCCTACAGATACTTTATCTCTCTTTATGCAACTCACTAGATCTTGTCCAAAAAGACTAGTTATTGGGCGAGTCACTGATCTAGAGTTCAGAGCCCAGACGACTTGCAGAAATCTAATAAAATCTAATAAAATAAAAATATGCTTACAATTTGGATATTTCTTTATCCAAAACACAAAAATGTGTGGT